AAGTATGAAAACTTGGCGCTTTTCCAGTTAAGCCAAATTGAATTTAGTTTGTGCCACTTCAACAACACCCCATATCCTGGAGCTTCTCAGACATCGCCTTATTACGGAGACATAATTTGGTTTTTCTGGATTTCAACACACATATATATAGCCGAAATGTGTTCTAAGTGTCCTAGAAGAATTCCCCCTAGAATGTGTGCAGCTCAGATCACGCTTATCACGTTCTTACAGCAGCCACCCCCCCACCCCAGCTAGGCCGCAACACTACCAATCAAGCATACAGCTATCTCGATATCCGAGAGCTTCAGATCTGGCAGGGCTTTAATCTCAAGACAATTCTCCAGCAGTACCATAATGTCTTGAACGGCGTGATGATCGCGGCTGACCCTATGCCAGTCTCTCCACCACGACCCATTACTGCCGAAAATGTTCTCCAAGCGCAAATCTGTGAGATTTTGAGACCACACATTCGACGCTCATTGTGAGTTGGATTTTCTTTTTTAGCAAACAATGGAGGAATGCAGGGTTGCACAGAACTGTGTTTTGATGTTGGTGAAGCAGCATGAGCAATTGAAAATTATAAATCTGATACTGCATATTTCAACATTCATGCAGCTCCAGCAACTGCACCCAACCATGCTCCTGGAGATGTTAAGCCCTTGTGGAAATGGAGAACCGACATGGGAGGGAGTCAAATTGTCAGTCAATGAAATGAGTATCACCAAGCATTAAGCCAGGTTAATTTTTATATGAACCAGCACAACAGTTGGTATGGATTCCTTGTCATCAACCAAGAACTAGTTGCAATCCAGAAGTTGGATGAAAATGGAAATCTTGAGCTTGCTCAATCAATTCTTTGAACCACAGGAGAAACTGCCACCCAACTGTGATTGACTGTTATGCTTGCTTTGTGGTACATTGATAGGCTTGCATTGCATGATCAGGAAGTCAACAACTGGCAGATGTGAGCCATCTCTTATGTACTCATGAAGCTGGTGGGTCAGCAACTTTTATTTCTTTAGGTTCATACATCTTTTTTGTTCAGTATGACTTCCTATGTATGTTGTATGGTATCAATTCTGAGAGAGAAATTGAAAAGAGTTCTATTTTGTTCCCCCATCCACAGATTGGCGGAAACAGGCAAATGCCTGGTCCCTGTTACAAAACTACGATCATACAAATCTATTGCTGTAGATAAAGCATTGCTGCCTAATAACTGTTTATATAGTCAGTGAAATCTCGACGACATGATCCACAAGTCGCTGGGTCAGAAGAGAGACACTTTGGACAGAACCTGTGTCCGACAGGAGGGCTTTCCACTCTGGAGGGATGGTTATAATCCACAGATTGTTTTCCATGTCAATGAGGACATTTCCTGGTTTAACATCTCCCAAGATAATTCCAGCCTTGTGAAACTCATTGACCATCTCTTTCAACTGATGAATCCATGTTTCTCGAAGATATGGTGCTGCCTTTCAGATTTCATTTCGAGAAGCCAACGTACGGTGAAACTTGATATAGGTGATGGTGGAGTGGTCTATTGTTGGTTGGCCACTACAATGGTATTCGCGACCCAGCCTAGCACAGTAATGGTTTAGTGTGGGGCATCTCTGACGGAGAATTTCCCCACCTGTGGTGCCAATAGGTATTGTTCAACTTGAAGTACGCGTTGAAGAAGGGCAGGGCGAAAAGGAAGAAGTCCAACATATGAAGAATCTTTCGAAGCTCCAAAGTTGAGCCTAGCAGTTTGCACCACAACAGGAACGCCGTTCACATATTTTCGCTCGAGGTTTATAGTATGAGCTATGAGATATCAGGACGCATCTGGCCAGCCATGGGAAGAAATTGTGCACTCGGGCGTTTTCCTG